GTGAGTCTCCCAGTCATGGTCTTTCCCCTGCTTCTGTAGTTCTGCCTGCAACAGTGATGAATTCATATGCCACTAATCATGGTTTTGTGATGATTCCCTTTGTTTTTAATCATATATAATTAGCCCCATGGCCATGACTCAGTGGACTCCATTTGGCTGTGTACATGCCGATGGTTTCCCTCATCCTGGATGTTTTGTTTATGTCTGTCCAAAGCATAATAAAAATGTCTCTACTGAACCTGTTTGATTCTGGGATCTCTTTTCCCCTATTACAATATGGGTGGAGTAAAATTTTTGGGATTTTTATTTGCTGATGTGGCATTACTCAAAAAATGAGAAGAAATAGCTGTAAATGTCCATTAACAATTGGTACATGGAATGTATGAAATATGAATTTAGGAAAATGAAATTGAACACATAAAGATTGATATCCCAGGCATTAGTGAGGGAAATGGACTGGTATTGGCTATTTTGAATCATATTATCATATGGTCTACTATGCCAGGAAAGAAAATTAAAGAGAAATGGCATTGCATTCATTATAAAAAAAACAATTTCAAGATCTATATTGAAGGACAATGCTGTCAGTGATAGGATATCCATAGCCTATAGGGAAAATCAGTTAATACTACTATTATTCAAATTTATGCACCAACTACTAAAATCAAAGATGAAGAAATTGAAGACTGTTACCAAGTCTGAAATTGACCAAACATGCAATTAAGATGCATTGATAGATACTGGTGATTGGCATGTGAAAGCTGGAAACAAAGATGTAGCATCAGTGGTTGGAAAATATGGCCTTGGTGATAGAAATGACATCAGAGATCACATGATAAAATTTTGCAAGACCAATGACTTATTCATTGCAAATACCTTTCTCAACAACATAAATGGCAACTCTACATGTAGACCTTCCCAGATGGTATACACAGGAATCAAATCAACAACAGCTCTGGGAGAGAAGCTCAATTTCATCAGTCAGACAAGGTCAGTGGCCAGCTGTGGAACAGATCATCACTGGCTCATATGTAAGTTGAAGTTGAAGCTGAAGAAAATTAAACATATCTGTTTTTGTTGTTGTTATGTGCCATTGAGTCGGACCCGACTCATAGCGACCCCTCCTTGGGTTTCCAAGGCAGTATCACTATGGAAGTATACAACCATGAGTGTATCCAGTCTCAATTTGGAGACCATCTGAGGAAGAGATTTGATGCACTGAACATCAATCAGTTAAGACCAGATGAATTGTGGGATGATATCAAAGATATCACACATGAAGAAAGTAAAAGATCATTAAAAAAACAGGAAAGAAAGAAATGACCAAAATAGATGTCAGAAGAGACTCTGAAACTGGCTCTTAATGGAGAGTAGCTAAAGGAAATAGAAGAAATGATGACATAAAAGAGCTGAATGGAAGATTTCAAAAGTTGGATAAGGAAGACAAAATAAAGTATTATAATGGAATATGCAAAGGCCTGGAATTAGAAAACCGAAAGGGAAGAGTCTGCTCAACATTTCTCAAGCTGAAAGAAGTGAAGAAAAATTCAAGCCTCAAGTTGCAATATTGAAAGATTCTATGGGCAAAAAATTGAATAATGCAGAAAGCATCAAAAGAAGATGGAAGGAATACACAGAGACAATATACCAAAAAGAATTGGTCAACATTCAATCATTTCAGGAGGCAGCATATGATCAAGAATTAATAGTATTGTAGGAAGAAGATCAACCTGCACTGAAGGAATTGGTGAATAAGCAAGACTTCCAGAATTGATGGAATATCCATTGAGATGTTTCAGCAAATGGGTGCAATGCTGGAGGCACTCAATTGTTTATGCCAAAAAATTTGGAAGACTGTTACCTGGCTAACTGACTGGAACAGATCCATATTAGTGCCCATTCCAAAAGAGAGATGATCCAAAAGAATTCAGAAATTATCATTAATATCACAATATCATTAATATCACAGGCAAGTTAAATTTTGCTGAAGATCATTCAAAAATGGTTGCAGCAGTACTCTGACAGGGAACTACAAGAAACTCAAGCTGGATTCAAAAGAGAACATGGAATGTGGGATATCATTGTTGATGTCACATGGATCCTGGCAGAGAAAGCAGAGAATACTAGAAAATGTTTACCTGTTTTTTCATTGACTATACAAATGCATTAGGCTGTGAGGATCATAACAAATTATGGATAATATTGTGAAGAATGGGAATTCCAGAACATTTTATTGTGCTCATAAGGAACCTGTATACATAGACCAAGTGGCAGTCATTTGAACAGAACAAGGGTATACTGCATAATTTAAAATCAGGAAAGGTGTGTATCAGGGTTGTATCCTTCCACCATAATTATTCCATCTGTATGCCAAGGAAATAATGTGGGAAACTTGGACTGCATGAAGGAGAACACAGCACCAGAATTGGAGGAAGACTCCAACAGCCTGAGTTGTGAAGATGACACAACCTTGCTTGCTGAAAGTGAAAAAGACTTGAAGCAGTTACTAATGAAGATCAAAGACAACAGCCTACAGTATGCATTACACCTCAACATAAAGAAAACTGAAATCCTCACAACTGGACCAATAAGCAACATTATGATAAATGGAGAAAGGTTTAAGTTGTTAGGGATTTCATTTTACTTGGATCCATGATCACCCCCATGGAAGGAGGAATGAAGAAATGAAACAACATATTGCACTGAGCAAATCTGCTGCAGAAGACCTCTTTAAAGTGTAAAAGAGAAGACTAAGATGTGCCTGTCCCAAGCCAAACAAATCTGTCTTGGAAGAAGTGCAGCCAGAATGCTCCTTACAAGCAAGAGTGGCCAAACTTTGTCTCTTGTACTTTGGTCATGTTATCAGAAGGGACCAGTCCCTGGAGAAGGATACCATGCTCGGTAAAATAAAGGGTCAGAGAAAAACAGGAAGGACCCTCAATGAGATGGATTGACACACTGGCTGCAACAATGGACTCAAGTATAGCTATGATTGTATGGATGGCACAGGACCAGACAGTGTTTTGTTCTGTGGTAGGAAGTGTTGCTATGAGTCAGAACTGACTTGATGGCATCTAACAACAACAACAATACTGAGATCCAGCCAAAGTGAGTGATCTTGGCAATGGCAATTGTTTCCTATCCATATGGCCTCAGACACATTATATAACTCCCAAGTCTCCAGCCCCTCAGCTGTGAAATGAGCATAATTAAAGAGTTATTGTGAAAAATCACTATGCAAATGGCTCTTAGCATGTAATGAATCTTAATGATTATTTCTAATAATAGTTCTTTATACTGTGTCTCTAATTCCTCTTCTCTTATTATCTCTTAAACCCTTTCCAGTTAAGCTTTCATCCCTCCTTTCCACCACACAGGTCTTGTGACGATCCCTCCAAATTCCACATTATCCCACCCTCATCTTCCTTGAATGAACTGTTGTTGTTGTTATGTGCCGTCGAGTCAGACCCGACTCATAGTGACCCTTCCTTGGGTTTCCGAGGCAGTATCACTACGGAAGTAGATTGCCCCATCTTCCTTCCAAGGAGTGGCTGGTGGGTTTGAACCGCCGGCCTTTTGGTTAGCAGTTAAGTGCCTTAAGCACTAAGCTACCAGAGCTCCTCTTGAATGAACTAGCAACCACATTTCACACAGTTGACTCCTCCCTCTTCCTTGATATACTTTCTTCACTTGGCTTCCAAGACACTAACCTCTCTTGGTTTTCCTCCTATCTCACTTGTTCCTTCTCTGTTGGCTTTGCTGGTGCTTCCTCAACACTGACCTCTTAACACTAGAGGGCCCAGACTCAGTCCTTGGTCCTCTTCTGTTTGCTACTTTTGGTCCTTTTTGCTACTAAATGAGATCTTCAGTGATCCCATCCAGTCTCATGGCTTGAAATATCATGTTCATGCCAAGAACACTCATGTTTATATACCACCCCAGACTTCCATCAACTCAAATAAGAATGTCTCATTACCTGCTCGATAGACACCTCAAACTTTAAGTGTCCCAAACTGAATTTTTGACCTTCTCCCTACAAAACCTGCTCCCTCTATTTTTCCCCATCTTAGCTGACAGTTATCCAGGCCAAAACCTAGGAGTTGTCTTGATGCAGCTTTTTGTTTCATCTACTATCTATTCTCACAGCAAATGCTATTGGTTCCACTTTAACATATGCATGGAACCCAACCTCTTCTCGCCATCTCCACTGCTCCCAGGGAGTGGTACCATCATTACCTATCTCTTGGTTTACTGTACTAGCCTCCTGCTAGTCTCCCTGCTTCCACCCCTACTCCCTCTGGTCTCTTCTCAACAGAGCAGTTTTAGTGATCAGATTAATTAAAGTCAAGTCATATTGATCTTCTGTTCATAATACCTCACTGCCTTTCTACCGCACTTAGAAGGCAAACCAAAAACCCACAAGGCCCTAGCAACTACTTCCTCCCTCGTTCCTCTCTGGCCTCTTGTCACCCACCTAATCTGCCATCTCTCACCTGTCTCCACCCCCTTGCCATTCCTCAAGCAAGCCAGACACACTTGCCTCCCAGAACCTTTGCACTTGCTGTTTCCTTTGCCTAGAATCCATTTGTCCTGGAAGCCTACATGGTTCAATCCATCACTTTACTCACATATACACCCGTTTTTTGGTCCACATTCCCTACTGTACATTTCTTTTAGTTATCTTGCTTATAATCTGTCTCTCTTACTAGAGTATAATCCTTATAGGAGCAGAGATTTGTGTCTGTCATGCTCACTGCTCTATTCTCAGGGCTCAGAAAAGTGACAGAGATAGAGTAGGTTGTCAACAAATATTTGTTGAATGAGTAAGTGAATGAAAGCAGGAGTGACTGAAATCCTTGCCATCTAGGGATAGAACCTGAAACACAGGCCTGGGCTGGACTGCATGCTTGTCTTGGTGAAACACCTCAGCCATCTGGCCATTCATGATGGGAGGCTATAACTTCAGCAATGTTAGGGGACTGTCCCAAATAGAGACATACCTCGCTTTATCCCTTCTTCTTTCATCTGCTTGGAAGGTGCTGGACCAAACTCCTCTTCTATTGGCCTGAACATCCGTTTGACAAGAACACTGCTGCTAGAAAAAAATGACCAGAAATTGGTTGATAAAGCATGCAAATATCATCTGTGCATGTGTCAGCCCCTGCCATTTTCCTTTGCTTATACCATTCCTAGCTCTTCACAACTAGATCCACTCACCAACCCCCTTCTTCCCAAGTCATCCCTATCTGAGACAGAACATACACATCAATACTTTTAGCACATGGACCTAAGACATTCCTCCCATTGCTGAATCTGGATCCACAAAGGTGAGACTTCTGTACCTTAACTGCTCTGTCCTGCAACATACCCACCTTTTAAGCTCTGAAGATGAGATTTGGGAGGTGGCAGGAGTGAGCCCTGGTACCTGTGTGGTCTCAAAGTCACATCAGCTCCTTCCATGTAGCTGAAGCCTGGGTGCCCTGCCCAGTACACAGAAGGAACTCTGAATGTGACATAGGCCTGCTGGATGGTTCTCTGTTGAGAGGGTGTCCTAATTCCCTACTGTTCTACTTTCCTTTTGTTGGAGTAGATGAGATTACAGTGGTGGAAGCACCATAGATAACAAGGACTGGGCTGGCCAGGCAATTCTTTCTCTTTCTGCCCTTCTAGCAGCCCTGGGTTCCAATCCAAACAGTTCTTTATTACTTTCCAAAGTCCCTGTCTATTGTGAGGCTGTTTAAGAAAGAGGAGGATAGTTCAAGAGGAAGAGAAATAGGAAGAATAGCCTTTCACTGAATAGAAGTCATTGGTACAAAAACCTGCTCCTGTATTGAGTCTTAATATTCTTTGTACTCTCAAGAGACTAGATACAAATTCTTGGAATTTTTTTTTTTATCTTTGAGGATTTCTGGAACCAGGCACACAAGCAATGCCAGAGAGGCAGTGATATAAACTCTGTTGTTGCTGTTAGCTTCCACTGAGTTGCCCTCAACTCACATGGCTCCACCCACGATGGGATTGGACCACTATGATCCAAAGGGTTTTCATGAGCTCATTTCTTAGAGGTTGTGAGAGGGCTTTCTTCTTACTGGTGCAGTGGCTAAGCACTTGGCTGCTAACCGAAAGATCAGCAGTTCAAACCCACCAGCCACTCCATGGAGAAAGATGTGGCAGTCTGCTTCTGTGTAGATTACAACCTAGGAAACCCTACGGGGCAGCTCTACTCTGTCCTATAGGGTTACTATGAGTTGGAATCAACTTGACAGCAACAAGATTGGTTTGTTTAGTTTTTCTTCCTAGTTGTTCTTAACCTAGGAGCTCTACTAAAACCTGTACAGCAACATAGCAACATGCAAGCCTCCACTACTTTGCTTTAAATCCCTGCTTTATAACTGACTAGTTATAGGAGCTTGGGTAAGTTCCCTAACCTCCGTGGGCCTCAGTTTCCTTATATTTAAAATGGAGTTGTTTGGAGCATTCAGTAACTTAACATAAAAGCACTTGCAAAGTTATCCTATATATTGGGAGCACTATTTAAGTGTTAGATAAGAATGACAGTAATTACTGTTTGGAGACAGTTGAGGAAGAGAGATATGGGAGAGAGTAAACAAGGCAGACAGTTTGAGAAAGGTCAGAGCCTCCATTTACCACCAGATAGCAATAGCTCCAACTATCATCTTATTCCAATTTAGGTACTGACATTGGTTATGCTGCTTGTATGACAGATGGGCTTTGATGATAATACAAAATCTGGCTCCAAAGCCAACTCCCTGCAGGCATTACTGAACTATGAAACTATTTACCAACTTTTAAATCATGCTATTGGTGGAATCCAGTGGTAGAGAGAAGGCATAGTACAAAACTGTGAATAGTCCCAAAAGTATTTCTATTAATTCTAATAATTCAAATTATTAAGCTAATAATGACGTAATTTATCATCTCATACTCTATATGATCCAAAAAGTACTGTGTATCAATCCTTAGTAAAACTTCACATTGTGCAAAGTGTTTTTCAGCTCCTTGGTCATTTAAATCTTACACAGACTCTGTGAGCCAATGATGGTAAGGACCAATTTTATCCCATTTCAATGATGAACAAACCTGAGCTCAATGTGTTGTCTTATGCAGAGCAATGCAGTTAGGAAGAGGAAGAAGTTGTTTAGAGAATTCAATTTTGAGGGGATACCCTCATGAAAAGCATTTCAATAAATCTAAGATGATGATGAGTGAGGGTGTAAGAAACAATATTAAGAGTCAGCATTCTTTTATTTCATTCCCTCGGAAGTCAAACTATAGAAGCAACTAGGGGAAGAACCAAAGTCAAGGCCTATTTCATTGCCTCGGAAGTCCTATCATTGAAGCAATGAGAAGAGGAACCAAAGTTGAGTCCTAGCTGAAGGTGGTGATAAGTTTTCATGGCACTGTCCTCTTTGCCTTCCCTTGTCATCAAAGCAAGTCATGTTATTCTGTCAAGTTCTTGGAACTGGGGTGGCCATGACCTCAGGATTAGAAGATTAGAAAATTCATTCACACAGCTGTCAGTGACCAATAGCTTAATAGTGAGTAAATGGAATGAGAAATCACCAGACACTTTTATGCTGTGTGAGGGTTCTTAAAACAATTATTTTGTTTTTCTCACCAAGCAAGCTTTATTTATATATTGCCCAGCTCTGTTGGGAACCATATGTCTCTTGAGAGTTCAAAAATACTTTTTCACACTTTCAAATCTATGAAACAAGTAGGAGTCAGTAAGTGTGTATGGACTGAATTCAACTGTTTCATTTATTTTTCAAAGCAAGGCAAGGAAGGAGGGGTGGAGATGACGGCCTCATTCAATAGAAGAAAAGAGTACATGTTTATGGTCTCCTGATGCCCAGTTTTGTTACACTGGATCATCCCACAGAAAGATTAGAGAACAAGGCAAAGGCATTTTCTTCCTGACCAGTCTCCATCCCACGGGCACAGTAAGGTGGCTAATACGTAAAGTGACTTCAGGCTGGCAGCACAGTAAGTTATTGCTTTGTAAAATCAGTCTCATGGGAAGCAGGTCCTGATATATAAACAAAGGAGTGCTCATTTTCATGGGGAAAAGAAACTGGGAAAGTGGTCAGGTCTAAAGGATGGGCCTCTGGTCATACTTGGCATTGTTGTGCTCCACCTGGAAGACTGAACTGTACTGGGACATTGGGTACCTAGTGAGAAGCTTCTTTAAAAAAGTACAGAAAAGGGTTTCAGGCACCATGGAGATATATTTCGTCTACTTCAAACCTCTGCTTATGGCTTATATATACTAATTGCCACATATATCCTAAATAAGTTGAGGTTCCTCCTTCATGTTAGCCTCAGAAGAGAGGAAGTCATCTTACATTCAAGTCCTCAGAAAGTCTATCATTTTATGGAGTCGGGTCGCAATCACTTTCTTTTCAATAAAAATTACCCATTGACCCAAAATGACTTTAATAAGGCTTATAGATTTGGGGGCTTATGGAATTCACCTGACAGAATCTGTTGCAAAACTCAGTGTAGATTTAGTATCTATTCCTGCAGTTAGGACTACATAATCAAAAGCAATGGAGAACTAGGTCAACATATCCCCGAAAGTTCATTTAAAGATAATAAGTAAAGACGCAGAGAAATGAGCCAGACGCTGTGAGATTTTCTTTTAAAGTTATTTGCCAAGTTCTTAAGCTGCGCAGGTCAAGAGCCTAAGAGGTTAAGAAGAAAGCCCTTGAAAATCAGAGAGGAAGGGCTGACAATCTCACCATGCTTAGGAGACAAAAATTGGACTTCAGGACTCATCAAAGTAAAGGACCCTTAGTAAGTTCCTCAGAGATACATCCTAGCAATTAGGATGTACTTGAGCAAGTCTAATAAAAACTGCAACCCAGTCGTGGGTCAGTTCTGTCTCTGACTTGATTATGGTGATCTCTACATCTATCTATCCTCTGCAGACATTTGTATCCTCTGCAGAGCACAGGATAGAACAAACCTTCCCAGGAGAAAAATGTGGTCATCCAGATCCTTCACTGAAAATTTTTTTTTGTGTGTACAATGTTCACCATTCAATTAATATTTATAAGCCATAGCAATAAACATGACCAAGAGGAAAAAAAAAAAAAAAGACAATAAGAACAGACTCAGACATTATTTGAGTTATCAAATATAAACTTTAAAATAATTGTGGTTAATATGTGCAAGAAAATAAGTGCCAAAACACATAGATCTAGAATATATTAAAATAAATAAACTAATTCAGTGGAAAATGTCCAATTAAAAAATGCAATATTTGAAATGAAGAAAATAATGGCTGAGTTTAACAGTAGACTGGACTCAGCAGAAGAGAAGATTTGAAAGTTGAGTAGGTAGAATTTGAATGTGAAATTAGCTCAGTAGAAAATATCTACACTAGGCATGGTGAGCAAAGCAGATGAAAATACAGAAAGGAATTTAAGAGATATCGAACCAAAACTCACTGCCATCATGTCAATTCCAACTCATAGCAACCCCTACTGGGTTTCCAAGGCAGTAATCTTTATTAAAGTAGATTGCCCCATCTTCATTCTGCGGAGTGGCTGGTGGGTTTAAACCACCAACCTTCTGGTTAGCAGGCAAATGCCTTAGGCACTGTGCCACCAGAGTTCCTTTTAAGAGACAAAAGGGACACAAAAAGTTCTAATACACATTCAATTGGAGTCTCAAAGGAGTGGAAGGAAGCAACAAGAAAGAAGCAATATTTGAAGAGATAAGAGCTATGATTATTCCAAAAGTGATGAAAGCCATAACCTACAGAATCCAGAAGTGATGCAAAATGCCAAGCATTGGGGGTAGGGAACATTGTTAGACAGATAGAGATAAGTATTGATTTGGGTGAAGAGAAGGGCAATGTACCAGAAAAAAAAAAAAAAAAAAAAAAAAAGCCAAGCATGAAAAAAACAGTAAGAAAATTATACATAGAATCATTGTATCAAAAAATTCTGAAAATCTAAGAGAAAAAGAAAATTTTAGGAGCAGCCAGAGGCAATATTAATTTCTGATCAAATTGACTTTAAGACAAAAGCAACCATGCGAGACAGGGAAGGACATTATATAATGATT